CTTCCCTTCCAGCACGGCGCGCCCCGGACAGAGCGGCCGGGAGGAGACCCGCGGTGTAAAAGAAGAGCCTGTGACTCAGGATTGCCAACACTGGCCCCGGGGTGGGAGATGCCATTCTCCCATCCTCGTCCCCGCGGGAGGAAGGCCACTGTCCCTCCCCGCAGTCACGAGTGGCTGTGGGGCGGGTCACGTCCCCGCATGAGGACACAACAGTGAACAAACCGTTTGGTCTCCCCGAGCGCAGGGCAGCAAGTCTGGACTCTGCCCTTCCTCTCCTGTGCAGTAAGGCAGCCAAAATCCTGCCTTCCCCCAGCTCCTGCCCACAGACCAGGGTGGGCTGAGCCCCCCGGCCCAGGGGGGATGCCGGCGGAGCCGATTCAGCGAGCCGGGCACATGAAGTCAGGCCGGATCGTGCAAGCCAGGCTCTCGTCTCTCTTCACAGCTCCTTTATCCGAGCCCATGTCGAAACACTGCCCAGGAGGAGGGAGGGAGGAAGGGGGAGCCCAGGTGGGCACCAGCAGCCTCCGTCGCAGAGAGCTCTGTGCTGATTATATACATGTCTCGTTCCCCCTCCGCCGGGGCCCTAGTTTTCGGGGCTCGCGTTCTGCCTGGCACGGATGAAGGCCATGCCGTGGGTGCGGAAGTGCGTCTTGAGGTTGAGCTGACTGTCAAAGCACCGGCCGCACACCTTGCAGGAGAGCTTGCCGTCGGCCGCGTGCTGGGCGCCTCCTTCCAGGGGGCTCCGGGGCCCCGGCTCCTCCATCTCGCTCGCTCCCTTCTTCTTCTTGTGGGTGATGAAGCGGTGGCGGTTGAGGGAGACCTGGGAGGTGAAGCAGAGCCCGCACTCCCGGCACTGGTGGGAGCTCTCATCAGTCCGGTGCTGGGGGATGTGTTCCTGGAAGTCGGCTGAGCTGCTGGCGAGGTAACCACATTTTCGGCACCGGAAGGGGGCCTTGCGGTCGCCCTTGGGGTTTTTGGAGGGAGGGGTGGTGCTGTCAGGCTCCTCGCTGCACGAGTCGCCCTCGTCCGAGGACAGCTTCCGCTTCCGACTGGACACCTACGGGGAACGGTTCAGATAAGCTTTAATGGGTGCCCGATTTGAGCAGCTCCTGGCATAACCCAGCCTCCTCGGGGATTTCCCAACGGGCTCCTACAGGTATTTGCTCAGATAAAGGCCCGACGGGCCTTGGCCGGCCCCAAGAGCTGTGCCCCTGCCGGTGACCCTGGCCGAGGGGCTCCCACAACCGCCTTTG